TGGACCTAATACGCTACTGTATTTCAATATTGCTCATTATGGTGGTACTAGCAAAGACAACTTTTTTCTAAGGTGGTACTTGATGAAAAACGTTTGAGAACCACTGCAATAGAGAATACAAATTAAAGATCAGATTTGATAGACGAAAGCCACAGAACCATCAAGATTTTTACAATCTGTTGAAGTCTGAAAACCTCACACCCGAGTAATGCACATGACTTCGCTCTCCACATGAGAGGTGTCTTTAAGCCATCACCAAAAAGCCTGTTATATAAAGTATTAAATAAATGTTAGTAGTTCAGCACTTTCTCCTTGTGTCTTTTCATTGTTATTACACATCAGATTTTTTTGTTCTTATGTTTGTATTGCTTGGGTTTTTTATCAAAATCTGGTTCAGTTCCATGTTAACGGATCCTTTAGAAATATTATTCCCATGAAAAAAACGTGACATGTTCAATACTTATTTTCCCCTCTGCACATCTAACCAGCATTTAGATGATATTATGATCACTGTTTTGCAAGTATTGTTGTACACAGAGATTTTAATATAACGTTTCAATGTGTATGAGTCAAGGTGTGTTACGGTGTCCCGGAAGACTTTAATTATCATTCGGACTGATGTTCCCAGTGTTCTTTCTTTGCCTTGTTTTTCTTGTTATCTCCAAGGAAAGATATGTAAGAGCCACTGTGTCTGACCATGGCCATGTCACTATGCCCTGTCAGCCTTGCTTCAAACCAATTCACTCTACGCCTCAATTTTTCTCTCTCTCTGTACTCTCCCAAATGATCTCACTTTAAAAATAACATGTTCCTACTATGATTTCAGGTGGAAGACTCGAATCATTTATGTGCATTGTGTTCATACTTTTTTCATCTTCTTCACACATTCATAAGTTGAATCATTTTCCTTGTAGTGTTGAGTCGAATGTTTTGTTTTTTGTTTTCTTCTTTGTCTAGGTCATCATAACTACCTGTGCGCCGGACGAAATGACTGCATTGTTGATAAAATCAGGAGGAAAAATTGTCCCGCATGTCGTCTTCGAAAGTGCTACCAGGCAGGGATGATGCTTGGAGGTACTGTTCATATGTATATATTTTAAATGTTTCTTACTTCTATTGAACTTATTGGTCAAAAGTGGGCAGTTTTTAAATTGTGAGACAGAATTTTTTCTGAAAATCAATTTTAAGTGCACTTGGTGACCAGTGTTGATGGTAAGGGATTACAAGTACATTGAAAAAAATTACACCTTAAACTAACTTATTTTTTTTCCTTCCTCAAACTTTTGTTAAATTCAACTAATAAAATTAGAAAATAAAATAAAAAATTTGGGCGGCTCAGTGGTTAGCACTGTCATCTCACATCAAGAAGGTTGCTGGTTCGAGTCCCAGCTGGGTCAGTTGGCATTTCTGTTTAGAAATTGCATGTTCTCTCCATGTTCGCATGGGTTTCCTTAAGGTGCTCCGGCTTCCCCCACAGTCTAAAGACATTCGCTATTGGTGAATTAACTATAGTGTATTAAGCCATAGTGTATGTTTGCGAATGAGAGAGTGAATGGGTGTTTCCCAGTTCTAGGTTGCAGCTGGAAGAGCATCCACTACATAAAACATATGGCGGAATAGTTGTTGGTTCTTTCCGCTGTGGAGACCCCTGATAAATAAGGGACTAATGAATGAATGAATAAAGTAAAAATATTGTTTAATATAGAGACACTTTTTTACACATCTTTTTGACCTTATAGATCATAGTAAAATCTTGCTTTGGGCCAACCTAAAAGTTACTTTAATTTGTTACAGCGAAATTTATAAATTATCCCCAAGTTATAGTCAGTGTTGGGGAGGTTACTTTGGAAATGTAACAGATTACAGATTACAAATGACTTGAAATGTAATAAGTAGTGTACCTTTTCAGTTACTTTTTAAAAGTAAAGTAACTGACTACATCTGATTACTTTTTGATTACTTTTAAGTTTCTAATGGAAATTTTGAACTAAATCATTTTCAAGCATTTAAACCAAGCAGCTGGGACCTTACAGTCGCTCTGTTTACTTTTAGAATTTTTAAAACCTTTCATTACTTAAATTAAGGTTATATTAATTTATTTTGAAGTACAGCCACCACAAATACAGACCTTATAACAAAAAAAGTGTACTGTTGTTACAAAATCAAAAATCTATCTATTCACCATTTCACACAATCTTCATCTATTTCACTAATGAATTTCACTACACAATGTAGTATCATTAGTAACTGTCATGAACTAATAGTTATTACCATAGTATACTTTAGTCTATACTACAGTAAACTATATATAGACCTCCTTTCCCTCAGTCATCTTTCCATCAAAGAAAATTTCTCGTTTTAGCCTGATTAGTTAGTTACGTCACAGACCAGAGCAAGAGTTGACAGTAATGCACCAAAAAGTTTGTCGACCACTAAAAAAAAAAAAAAAAAAAAGCTAGATTTACTTTCACCGACATCACAGCTCTGTGAATGTCTGTGCTGTCACTTATTGATCTACGATTGGTAAATGTAGCTTGTGTTGACGCTACTTCGCTACTTCACTAATAAAATAACTTTGCTACTAGAAAGCTTTTTGATTTATAAAGTAGCAACGCTACTGCCACGCTACTAAAAAATGTAGTAAAGTAGTGTCATTACTTGCAGCTTTTAGACTGGTTTTAGTAGCCTAATGCTTTCAGCGGCAGAGAGGATTAACGTAACTGGTTGACGTGGTGCGCCGCAAATCAACAGAATAATATTATTCAACATATTTAGATGTAACCTCATTTGTAATCTTTAACATTTTCATAAGTAACTGTAGTTTAATTGCACATTTGTTCTCAGTAACTGTAATGAATTACTGTTACATTTAATTCGTAATTAAATTATGTAACTCCGTTACATGTAACTAGTTACTCCCCAACACTGGCTAGTTTTGGCTTGGTTGAAAATGAAATGTGCATTTTAGTATTAATCAAAATACTTATTCTGCCCTAGAAAAAAAAAAAGAATTGACTCAAAGGTAAAATATTGTTTTTATAGTTGATTAATTATTTGAATTACTTTGGTTCAACTTCTAAGTCCAAGTTAAGTTGTATTTTGGACTAAACTATAATTATAAATAAATAAATAAATAAATAAATAAATAAATATATATATATATATATATATATATATATATATATATATATATATATATATATATATATATATATATATATATATTTATTTATTTATATAACGGCAGAGTATGCTATTACTAGTTATTTTATTTTCAATAATGAGGTAAACTGTCTGCTGGTGATTGCAGTATGGCTATAAATGTCACACAAGGCGATAATAAAAGCACATTAGAGATACATAAAAACTGAATATTAATTAAAAAACTAATTTCATGTAATCATGACATGAATACTGCTGGTTTACTTTGAGGAAAACCATCCCAGCAGCTACACAATGTCATAAGACATTAATAATAGGTTAGATTTAGGTCATGACATCAGGTGACCAAAATTCGATCTCAAGTCAGCGTCTAAGGACAGCATCTATAGAAGTACTATAGCGGATATTCTGACCATTCCGATATAAGACGTCATGTTTTCATGTCATATTTACATTCAAACCTTCAATTGTGATATTAAAACTTAGCTTTGAATGTCATTAATTGAATATTTAATCAAAGGCTGGCTCACACTGCGATTTTTTTTTTTTTATAACCCTGAACAATTGTAGCATGTCAGACTGCACAAACATGGCTCCCATGTCACACTGTAAGATCTCAGCTGTCATTTAGTCAGACTGAACGACAATGAAGACGTGCCAAACACGGAGGAAAACTCCCTGGAGTTTGACGATATCCACCCATGACTCTTTCACTATCCCGCATTCTGAAATGATTCCTCACAGCAAACGTAAACAATCTGTAGCGCTAATTTTGTACACAACATGTCTCAATAATAAAACCAAGAAGGAAAAAATCTGTTTTGACATTTCCCTGGGGTCATTTGAATTGTCGCATTGATTGCTTCATCAAATTTGTATTGGTTTTTGGATTGACGCTCATGGCAGCTGTTGTCTGACACTGCCAGAACTTAATCGGAGGGAAAATCTGATCGCAACGGGCACTAAGCCGTTGTCAGTGAACATGTCAAACCAACGATCAACGATCACAGATTTTAGCCTAGGATTTCAGAAGTCTTTTAGGATTTCCCACATTAATCTCAAATGACATGAACCGTGGCTGAAATCAGGGCTTAAGTCATTCGTAAAAATACAGTCTTTTTGTTATACAGCCGATAAATGTAAAGTAGGTTACTAGACCATTCGCAAGAGACTAACTTTTATTTTCACTTTAAGCATGGCAGATGGCTTTTCGCAGCTCTGAATATGCTGTTTCATAAGACATATCTGAAGTAAAGTTGGGTTTTTCCAACAGAAAGTTGTGTCTTTGTTAGCAGGAAGTTTCTAGACAACAGAGGCACGCATATTAAAAGTCACAGGGAAATGTAGTAGGCACTGAAATGCGTGCTGCCATTTTGATGGTCATGGTAGTTAAAGGTAGAATTAATTGTAATTCTTGTTTTTTGTTAGTTTATTAAAACAACAATGTTAGAAAGAAATATACACATATTTAGGACAAGTGAGGGATTATAGAACTACTAAACTGTGTTTTATTTCTTTATTGCTGAGATCGCCTCGGTAATTCTAGTGTTAAAGACCATTAAATAAGACAGCGGCTCCCACCCAGAAGACTCCAAGACAACAAATAAATTATGTTTTCATCCATCAAATCACATCATAATCTATCATACAAGAGTGACCAGATGATCAAAATGTACAACATGTCCATTGGTGTGTTTCAGGCCGTAAGATGAAGCGGTTTGCGGGACTGAAGGTCATGGGTCTGAGTCCTTCGCTGATGTTCCAGAGTCCGTTATCTCTGCTGACTGACGGTCAGACTCTGTCCTCTTTGCCCTGCATGTCAGCCATGCGTGAGCTCCAGCTGTCTCCGCAGATGATCAGCATCCTGGAGAACATCGAGCCGCAGGTGGTTTACTCCGGATACGACAACACACAGCCAGAGGTTCCTCACCTCCTCCTCAACAGCCTCAACAGACTCTGTGAGCGTCAGCTGCTCTGGATTGTCAGATGGTCCAAATCTCTTCCAGGTAACAATTTGGCTAATCGAAGTCTTCATGAAACAAACATAGATCCTTGAAATAAAATATGGTTTTGTTTCAACAATTGTACTATATTGCCAAAAACAGAACGAAAAACAGAGAAATTCTTAGATTAAAAATCTTACATTTAAATCTTGTACAATTACACTGATAAATCCCAACAGGTACACAACGTCATAAGATGTTAATATTAGGTTAGATTTAGTTTATGATGTTGGGTGACCAAAATTCAATGTTGTGTTGGAAAGTGACCAAAATTTAACGTTGAGCCATCATTTTAAACCAATCCCATATTGATGTCGAATACTGAAATTTATTCAACCAAAATCCAACGTCCGCTAGACGTCATAGTGGTAACGTCCACACAACATCAAGCTGTAACATCATTAGGCGTAAATATTTAGTTATTTTTAGGTTGCGTTGGAAAGTGACCAAAATCCAACATCTCTTTGATGTTGGATTCTGATGTCAGCTTGACTTTCATTGTTGACCAAAAATGCAACGTCCCACGATGTTGGGGTACTACATCAATCTGCCATCATGTTGACGTCTTGTGCATGTTGGGATAGTGCTAAGTGAAATAGTACAGTCAGGACTTTCACATGCTGCTGTATGAATTACAAAGGTGCTTGATTTAAATTTATTGGTGCTTAAAAAGGTCATTGAATTTGTTGTTTGTGAAAGCGTGGGAGCCCTGAGTTAAGATTGTCCTTTTTTCCCAAATCGTGATGTACATCCAATTGAAATGGTTCTGAAATGGGAAAAGATGTTGGGCGAGTATGATTTTGTCTTTTCTGAACCAATTGGATCATTGGAAGATGGACGACGCTCACGAAATGGAGAAAAATTGACCTATGGGCCCTGATAGCCCCGCCCTAAAGGCATCCCATGTGACCTGAAGTGAAGAAAAGTTGTTTTAAGGGGTTGTTGCTAGAAGTAACAAAAATTATTTTTATTATTTATTAAATTACCCATTAATTGTATTTTATTAACGTCTACCCCCACCTTAACCCTAAACCTAGTTCACAATACTGTAAAAACTAAAAATAACTTATTAAATCACTTATAACTTATTAAATCACTAAAAATAACTTATTAAATCACTTTATTAAACTATGTCTCTACCACAACCCTAAACCTACCTCTCACCATAATGTAAAAATAGTGATTATATTAATAATTATTTCTTAAATCACTTTATTAAACTACTGTATGTCTCTACCCCAACCCTAAACGTACCCCTCACAGTAATGTAACAACAGCATTTATTGTTGTACAGTAATTGAAGTGTTGAAATAATATAAATAATTCTCGTTAACTTCAAGCTGCAGCTGTATTCCTTCTAGACTTGACGTTAATGTATTTATGCAAATTTTTAACATTCATCAGTGTGCACTCTAGTAAACTTTCCATTAGCATAAATTAGTAAAGTAAAGAAAGTAAAATATAACAAATAGTACTCGTTTATGAAAGGAGAAAAACGTAACTAAAAGAAATGAATAAATACAATTGTAATAAATGCATAAATACATTGGTAACACTTTACAATAAGGTTCATCAGTTAATGCTTTAACTAACATGAACTAATAATGAAAAACACATCTACAGCATTTATTAATCATATATTAACATTTACTAATGCATTAATAACATCCGAGTCCATGATTGTTAACATTAGTTAATGCACCATGAGATAACATGAACTAACAATGAACTACTGTATTTTCATTAACTAACGTTAACTAACATGAACAAATACAGTAGTAAATGTATTGTTCATTGTTTGTTCATGTTAGTAAATGCATTAATTAACATTAAATAATGAACCTTATTGTAAAGTGTGACCAATACATTTAAGCTACTTGTATCCTGTGTCTTAACACCTCAGAAGGCAATTACACCAGGTGACTTTTGTTGCATCAGCTATGTGAAAAAAAAAAATCATAGTTATTATTCAAATGTCAGATACCCTTGTGGTCAAAGTGATTGACTTACTGTAGGAAACAAATAAGACGTTGACATTTTCCGAATCACCAAGGACCATGGTTTCATCTAGATTTATTTATCTTTATTAAAGTAACATCCCATTTGATTTAGGTGGCTTTTATTTTTGATCTGGGGTACTGAAATCTATCCAAAGCACCAAATAACTGAGATCTTTATAATCATACAATGCTACAGTAAGTTCAGATTCTTCAATAGATATTTCTTGTTCATCTGTGTTTAACAAAGGTTTTCGTAATTTGCACATCAATGACCAGATGACACTAATTCAGTATTCCTGGATGGGCTTGATGTTGTTCTCGCTGGGTTGGAGAACCTTTCAGAATGTCACCCCTGATTATCTGTATTTTGCACCCGATCTTGTCCTGAGCAAGTAAGTAAGAGTGAAAGAAATTCAATTAATTTCTGTTGTGGTTAAGACATGATATCCTTCAGCTTTTGTCATTTTTAACAAAATATGGTCAAAACTAACCCTAACCCTGACCCTAACAAAAAAAAAGTAGGTTTTAAGAATTTGAGTATTTTTTACGTTGAAAAAAAAAAACATCCTGCTGTTTAATTAAGGCGGCATTATTCCCGTCACTGTGAATGAGTAGCTTGATAAGAATAAAGGTCTCACATGAACACAGTGAATCTTCCTGAACTACTGAGTTCATGTGAGACATTTATTATTATTAGGTTACTTGGATGGCTTGGATGTCAGAGCTGGTGAAAACAGGGTAAATCTGTAGAAACAGACTGTTTTTCACGGAGCCAGATCAGTCTCAAAAATAATACATTTGCAAAATAAAATTCAAGCATGCACAGCACAGTTTATAATTCATGCACAACTCCAATTCGTAAATTTAAAATGCAGTTCATAAATGCACAACTCCAATTAGTAAATTCAAAAAGCAATTCATAAATGCACAAATTAATTTCGTTAATTGAAAACGCAATTCAAAGATGCACATATCCAATCCGTAAATTAAAGCGCAATTCATAAATGCACAAATCTAATTTATAAATTAGAAACGCAATTCATGAATGCACATATGCAGTTCATAAATTTTAAAACGTTATTCATAAATGCACAAATCCAATTCGTAAATTTAGAACGCAATTCATGAATGCACAAATTATATTGGTAAATTCAAAACGCAATTCATGAATGCACAAATCCAATTCGGAAATTTAAAATGCAATTTATAAATGCACAAATTCAATTCGTAAATTTAAAACGCAATTCACAAATGCACATATCCAATTCATAAATTTAAAACGCAATTCATAAATGCACAAATCCAATAGGTAAATTCAAAACGCAATTCAGAAATGTGCAAATCTAATTCGTAAATTTAAAACAATTTATAAGTGCACAAATACAATTGGTAAGTCCAAATGCAAATCATAGATGTGCAAATTTATTTAGTAAATTCAAAATGCAATTCATAAATGTGCGATGTATTACTTTTAAGACTGATATGGCTCTATAGTTTTTAGACTGCGTTTGAATTTTTGCACTCATGAAATGTTGGAGTTAGACATACATCAGTGTTCAAACACCACGTAAAGCATCTATTTTTTGCATAATAGGTCCACTTTAAGCAAATTCTATTAATATTTGTTAATAATAATAAATATGCATATACTCATGAGTCGTTTGGATTTTAGTGATCAGCTGAGAAGGTCTCCGATCTACGACCTGTGCTTGGCTATGCAGTTTGTCCCACAGGAATTCGCCAACTTGCAAGTGACCAAAGAGGAGTTTCTGTGCATGAAGGCTTTGATGCTCCTCAACACTGGTAATAAATCCTTTGTGTTTTGTCTCTGAACCATAAAACTCTCACTTACTGTCTGTCCACAGGTCAGATCAGTGTTCCCGATTGGATATGTTCACAATCTGGGCAATTTTATATTTTAAACCAATGGCTCAATGCCAGTCCACACGGACAAACAGAGAAAAGTGTTTTGGCAAAACTGCGAGACCTTGAAAAGCCAAAGATTCATATCCCACATTTTTTCTATAGTAGCTAATTCCAAAAAAGGCTTTCAGTTGTGCTGACAACAAAAATTTTTTATTGAGTATGTAACAACTGTGTAACTAAATTTGAGTTGATTAAACAGTTGAATTTGACCATTTTAACCCATTAAGATAATCTCAGGTTCTGGATGGAGTACTTTTAGCTTAGCTTAACATTAGACCATTAGCAACTCACAAAAAATTCAACCTAAGTTTCATATTTCACATTTTTTTCTACAGTAATGCCAAAGAAAGCCTTTTAATTTGTGCAGACTACCAATTTATAGAGCATGAAACAACCATGTAACTGAATTAGTTAATTAAACAGTTAAACAGTTGATTTTAACCATTTTTTAATCCATTAAGATGATCTTAGGTTCTAGCAGCAGCATTTTTAGCTTAGCTTAGCTTAGCAGCATTTCACTAAAAAGCCAAACTAAGTTTCATATCTCAGTCCCCCTTAAAGCCAATCTCATGGTCTGCTAGGGGCACTATTAGCTAGGCATAAATCATCGAACATGATTAGACTATTAGCATTTCGCTTTAAAATGAACACATTTGTTGAAATATTTTTTCCGTTTTAAATGGATAGTTCACCCAAAAAATGAAAATTGTCAGCATTTACTCAACCTTTACTTATTCCAAACCGGTTTGTCTTTTTTATTCTGTTAAAGCTATAACCCTGTAACCATTGACTTTCATAGTATGATCTTAGGTTCTGGCAGGAGCACTTTTAGCTTAGCTTAGCTAAGCTTAGCAGTAGACCATTAGCAACTCACTAAAAAGCCAAAAGTTTCATATCTCACATTTTATTCTACAGTAGTGCCAAAGAAGGCCTTTTAATTTGTGCTGACTCCAATTTATGGAGTATGGAACACCCGTGTAACTAAATTAGAAGTAACCTTAACAATTAAACAGTTGATTTCGACCATTTTTTAACCCATTAAGACAATTTTAGGCTCTGGCAGGAGCATTTTAGCTTAGCTTAGCATTAAACCAGTAGCAACCCACTATAAAGCCAAACTAAGTTTTGATATCTCATTTTTTTCTACAGTAACGCTAAAGAAGGCTTTCTTTTGTGCTGACTAGCAACTTACAGAGTGTGTAATAACTGTGTAACTAAATTCGAGTTAACCTAAAAGTTAAACAGTTAAATTTGACCATTTTTCAATCCATTAAGATCTTAGGTTCTGGCAGGAGCATTTTTAGCTTAGCATTAGACCATTAGACCCTTGTAATCTAGAAATGCACTTCCTGTTGGTTTTCAATGAAATTCTTAGATTACATATGTCTGAGGCAGTGGGCGTGGCTAACATGCTAAATCACGCCCATCCAACTATCAGTTTTGACAGCGCTATGACAACAAATTAAAAATGGTGAGGAGGAGGAGTCTGTTAGGTTGTAATAACTCTCCCAAAACCCTTTTACCAAACCTTTTGAATGAAATGCCTACTTTACTACATCTAATCAGCTCGCAGTGGAAAAAACAAGCCACGCCTACTGCTTTCTCATTTATTATTCGGTTTCTCTATGAACTAGGTCGCAGCTTCTAGTTCATGTGGACTTTAAAAAAGAAAAATAACTCAAATCTTTGGTCATTTTTGAGTGAGATGCAAATGGTCTAATCTGATTCAATTATCTATGCTAAGCTAAGCTAAATTAGTGACTTTTTGTCAACTCTATTGGCCATGCAGGCTGATAAGCATACAATCTGCATCCATCATTGTTCGCAACCACCTCAGCAGCCAATGAGCTTGCTCCTCAGCATTTAAATACCTCAATGTCGTTTGAGCTAGCACGTTTTTGGATACCTGCCTTGACCTAAGCTTCACCAGTGAATAGATCTGCAACAGGGGGTTACATGTATCTCGGTGTTATGTTGTCAGGCAGCATGTTTGCGAATATACTGGCTTTACTTGCTTTGGACCAATAAACATAGCAGCAGCAGCGTAGCAGATTTATTCCTCCAAGACCAAATGTATTTTTTTATACTAAATAAAACTAAATTTAGATGATAAATCTAATTCTGTCAAACTGCTGAAGAGGCCACTGTCAGTCAAGATATGTTTACTGTCTAGAGAGGTGTCACCATTCCAGCATTTAAAAGAAGCTTTCTTTCATCTGAGACAGCAGTACTGTGGTAAACTCTATCATCACTGTGGGGAGATGCGTATCAGTAATGTTTCAACGCTGATGTGTTTGTGACAGTTCCTCTGGAGGGCTTGAAGAGTCAAACACAGTTTGATGAAATGAGGCAGAACTACATCTGCGAGCTGTCCAAAGCCATCCAGCTAAAGGAGAAAGGAGTGGTGGCCAGTTCACAGAGATTCTACCATCTGACCAAACTCATGGACAACATGCATGAGGTACAGTACAGCACACAGAACAAAATACACAGACCTTGTTCTTTATGTATGAAGCAGCCATTAGAATCTTTAAGGCTGGAGATTTCCGTTCTCATTCACTTTCATGGATTTTTCAACGATATCTCATGTCAATTCGTAACATTTTTATTTAGTGGTTAATTCGTATGAATTGATACAATCTAATTCTGACAATTTACTACGTTTAGCTCATCCCCCAATGACAGTTGGGGTTAGGTGCCACGCCTCCTTTTTAAAATCATACATACGACTGAACTCGTACGAATTAGCCACTAAACTGACGAAATGTAAAATACTTACGTTTCCTCATGAGATCAGGGTGGATTTTTAGACGTTAAAAACAGCCCATTAAGCTTCTTGATGTTGCAAACTAATATTTTATTGTTATATTATTTAATGGGTGAGGCAGTGGCGCAGTAGGTAGTGCTATCGCCTCACAGCAAGGAGGTTGCTGGTTTGAACCTTGGCTCAGTTGGCGTTTCTGTGTGGAGTTTGCATGTTCTCCCTGCCTTCATGTGGGTTTCCTCCGGGTGCTCCGGTTTCCCCCAAAGACATGCAAGACAGGTGAATTGGGTAGGCTAAATTGTCCGTAGGGTATGAGTGTGTGTGTGAATGAGTGTGTGGATGTTTCCCAGAGATGGGTTGCGGCTGGAAGGGCATCCGCTGTGTAAAAACTTGCTGGATAAGTTGGCGGTTCATTCCGCTGTGGCGACCCGGATTAATAAAGGGACTAAGCCGACAAGAAAATAAATGAATGAATATATTATTTAATAACATTTATTTTTGTAAGGTCATGAACATGTTTGTAGAGCAAGTAGTTCTACTGTTTATTATTCCCGTCATTTCTCCCGTAGGCAGCTAAATCAGAAGTTTTAAATCAATCGCAAAAATGACTGCACTTCAGAAACGCAGATTAAGGTCAATAGATATACAAGGTTCAGTTGAAGAAACTCTTAACAGCTTCAGGATTATAAAAAATAAAAATTTCAATCATCTGCTGTTTAAAATACTGTACTTTTCCACCTATACCTCTGGTCCATCACTGCAAAACGATGACTTTTAATGCTGTAAACCTGCCCGATTAAAACTTGTCATTTTTAATTAAGCTTTTAGATGAATACAACTTTGTAAATATTTCAATACTTTGTGTCGTTATTTTAATTGTCAAAAGAGCATCAATGTGTGGACGTCATTTAGACGTCAACATTTTGACATCAAATCGATCAGCATTTATAATTTTTTTGACATTATGCACATCATAATGGGACTTTTTTTTTTTTTTACAAGTTTTAGATGACTAAAACTTTTTAATATTATAATACTTTACATTATTTTGATGGTCAAAAGAGGATCAATGTGTGGATATCAAATAGACGTCAAGAATTTGACATTAAATTGATCAACATTTAGAATTTTTTTTGACATCATTCACATAATAATGGGATTTTTTTGTACAACTTTCAGATGACTAAAACTTTTTAATAGTGTAATGCTTTGTGTTGTTATGTTGATGATCAAAGCAGTATCAATGTGTGGATGTCAAGTAGATGTCAAGGTTTGGACATCAAATTCGATCTGCATTTTTAATGTTTTTTGACATTGTGCTCATCATAATGCCACTTTTCTTGTACAAATATACTAAAAAAAACTATTAAATGTCAATTCAAACTGTCAACTACTAATCAGATGTCAGAATTCACGAACAATGATATTAATTTTGATCATAAGCCATCAAATATTATAGTTCATACGGTCATACAGGGTGTAAAAAATACTTCAAATGAATTATCACACAACTGATACGAAATAGGTCACATGATTTTATTTGCTCATAATCCATCAGAATACACAAAACATGATAAGGAAGGCTGACGCATGACGCTGCCTTTATCTCTGTGCAGATTGTGAAGAAGGTCAATCTCTACTGTCTGAGCACATTCATCCAGGCGGACGCCATGAAGGTGGAGTTTCCAGAGATGATGACCGAGGTCATCGCATCACAGCTGCCCAAAGTCTTGGCAGGAATGGTCAAACCGCTGATGTTTCACCACAAATGAAGGCCGACCGGACGATTGGGGGCCACTCATGTCTCGTCTACTCGATAAAAACACGACACCTTTCCATATACAGATTTAAAGTGTTCGTTGAAAGTCCACATATTTTCAGAGTGGAGAAAGAATTAGAATCAGTCCCACTGTGAAAAGTGATGTGTTGACAAAAGAAAGTTAGTAAAGTTGTTACATTTAACCATGAACTATGTGGATAATTATTTAAATTACGTCAAATCGCTTTTTACAGTGTACACTACTGGACAAAAGTCTTGTCGCCTATCCAAGTTTTAGAGACAACAAATAAGAACTTTACTTCTAGTTGATCATTTGCTATCTGAATGAGCTTATATAAAAGGCAAAGTCCTTAAGATTACACTTATTTTACCAAAATAAAATATAATAATGATTTTGAATAATTTAATTAGGATAGTAAGGTCTGACTTTGCTTAGACAAAAGTCTTGAAAATTAAAATAATTATTTAGAGTATAGAATATAAAGTCATGCTGCAGTGGAAACAGAATTAACATTGTGTATGACTCCCATGAGCTTGGAGGACTGCATCCATACATTTCTAACTTACATCACTTATTAATAAAGTCATCTGGAATGGCAAAGAAAGCGCCCTTGTGGCAAAGAAAGTTCACCCAGAGTTCATCAAGATTCTTTGGATTCATCTTCAATGCCTCCTCCTTCATCTTACCCCAGACATGCTCAATAATGTTCATGTCTGGTGACTGGGCTGGCCAATCCTGGAGCACCTTGACCTTCTTTGCTTTCAGGAGCAATGTGGAGGCTGAAGTATGAGAAGGAGCACTATCCTGCTGAAGAATTTGCCCTCTCCTGTGGTTTGTAATAAAATGAGCAGCACAGATGTCTTGATACCTCAGGTTGTTGATGTTGCCATCATCTCTGCAGATCTCTCGCACACCCCCATACTGAATGTATCCCCACACCATGATTTTTTCTTCACCAAACTTGACTGATTTCTGTGAGAATTTTGGGTTCATGCAGATTCCAGTAGGCTTTCTGCAGTATTTGTGATGATTATGATGCAGTTCAGCAGATGATTCATCTGAAAAATCTACCTTCTGCCCCTTTCCCAAATGATCAACTAGAAGTCAAGTTAATATTTGTTGCTCTTAGCTTTGGGATCAACGACAATACTTTAATCAGGTAGTGTGTATATTTTACCTTGTTATTAAACTTGCTACAATGAAATACATTTGGTGTATAACTGACTTCATTTTCACTTCGGAATTGTCACAGGAAGTAACACGAATGAATTAAATGTGAAATTTTTAAACTAGAAAGACTGGAATAGTATTTTCTTGTAAAACGTGGTCTGATTATTTGTTTTGATTATTGAGTATTTTTGCGA